TTTTTGTTTATTATTTGATCAGTTTTGATTTTCAATACATTTGATGTATTGATTATTTTGTATAATATATTAAATTCTATTTTGTATAATACATTAAATTCTACTTTATTGTTATTACTTTTTGACACATAATATTACGCATTTTTAGATTTATTTAGCCTGTGTTTCGATATCCACTGCCAGTACTACAAATCTATACTTTACGTCACATGTGCTGTAGATATGCAGTACCGGCAGTGAAGATCGAAACGCAGCCCATGTAAGTATGAGAGAGTAAGAGAAAGAGAAAGAGAGAAGGAACGGCATAAGAAACGGGTTAACAACTAAGCACGCTTCTCGCGGCTGGCAGTTAGCTATAGCTATAGCTATAGCGAAAGAAAGAGAGTGGTTATATATGTCCGTCTCTCTCTACTGCTCGAAGCTGGCCGAAGCGCCGAGCGCACACGTACACGGCTGTTCGCCTGTGTGCGTATCCCCTCCACTTGCTGTGTATGTTGCTAGCGTCCGCAAACTGGCATCTCTGTCGCGATCCTCGCTCTTGGTCGCTGTCTCTTGAGCGTGTCGGACGTGTTGCCGGATTCTCTTGTTCCTTGCTTCCGCTGAACAGATTTGAGAGATGGAACCGAACGTTGAGGTAGAAAACAACCGAAAAATCTAGTGAAGTGCTTTTACGTTTCATGTGAGCCACAAATCCGCGCACACGTTGCTCTGTGTCGAGGCCAGTCGCGCCGTTTAGTGAAATTTTCTCGCGGGTGAGGAGACGTTCTTCGGTCATATTTGGCTATTTGGTAATACGTGCGGCCGGAATCGGGCTTCACAAAGCTTCGTGGCACTGAGCGGTCGTAGGAGTATTATTTTAATATTAAGAATTACAGTAATAAGCCCTAGAGACGCGTGGAGACGTGCTAAGAAGCAATTTTCGTGTTCGCGTTGTCACGGAAAGCCGTTTTGTATTATCTGTCTGTTTCTCTTTTTTTTGTAGCTATTGTTGAGTGTTGTTCGCAACGTCGGCCGATAGTCGATCGTATGTAACGATATTTCTAAGGTTTATCTCGCCGTGCCATTTATATTATGTATTGTAGTGTTGCCGCCCGGCCCGCGCTCTTAGCCATTTAATTAACAGGTTGCAATATCTTTATCTGCTCGTTAGTGCCGGTGCGAGCGAGATAACCGGAAGCGAGTGAATAAACGGTGTATGATTCATTCATAAAAAGAACTAACCAACGCTCCCGTATAATACCTTCTCGTTAACTGATTGACTTGGTATGTGATACTGCGTGCTGTCGAATCGACAACCGGTTCAAAGGAAACGAGCGTCAAGCTTCTCTCGCCCTCACTTTGTGTCTCCGTTAACTGCTAGACTTTTGCCTTGCTGAGACAAAGTATCTAACACGGAACATCCTAAATCTAGGACTAAATCTAGGACATTCAAAAGGATTATTAACATGTGTCAAGTAAATACAAATCAAACGTAACATCCCTAACAGAACATGATATCAAACGGATATTCTGTACTCATACTGATCGTAGGATGATCGAATATACCAATTTGTAATGTGCTGAGGACATTTACATAACATTTTTGTAGAATGCCATGTAACAAATATTCTCAGAATAAACTCAGAATATAATAACTGAATTCCTTCCCTCCCGCAANTTATACTAAATGTATTGTGATTGTATCTATTATACTCCGAACATCCCTAAAATATCTGTGTAGTATATCCTGCATGCATATTAGAACAATAAAGTAAATATTAAGAATAAGAATCAGAAATAGAAGTTAAATGTAATATAAAAATGATAAAAAATAAAATATAACATAAATATAGGAAGTATGTCATAGCTGCATGAAAAATACAGTCAATATTTATATACATTTATATTATATTTTATTTTTTCGCATTGTGCATTTAACTTCTGTTTTTAATTCCTATTCTTAAGTTCCTAATAGTTTCTCTATTATGCTCAAGCCCTTACATACATATTTTCAGAATATATAGAAAACAGAATCTGAATCACAAGCAGCTATGCAAACGCCATTTACATAGATATTGCAATTCTAGACTTAAGGCTTATCTATATAAGACGCAGACGTGAGACGCAGATCGCAGGTTTTGTGGAATCGACCAATCACGCTGATCAGTTGACTAATTTGACAAATATGATTTGTCAATACGTTTTATGTAAAATGGCCTTTATGTAGATAGACCTTTATCAAAGCTGCGTTCCGTTTCACGCATAGGCGTATATTTATTTATACTATACGTGACGTATACTGTAGATAAATGTACGCATATGCATGAAACGGAACGCAGCTCAACACTCTCTTATTTTAATTTTACTATCGTTGAAGATACANTATAGAANACGCAACATNNTTTATATNCAANGTAATCGGATCTNTNTTTTATTTAATAATGTNTCTAATTAAACATATTTATATAAACAAGTTATATAAGTTATTTTTTACATATATTTGATTCTTATCGTTACACAATACTTCTTATATTATATTTGGGGTTATCTTGATATTCTCTAAAAATACTAACAGCTAATAAAGATATTTTTAAGATTTTAATATAAAATCCTTATTATGGTGCTTATTAAGTGCCAATTTCCATTTAGTAACACAAATTGACACAAGTATTATTCTATCTTCTATCTTTCCTTTTATTGAATAGTAAAGATAGCAAAATCGACTTATGTTACTAATTTTAAATGAAAAANGTCTATGATGTTATAGACTTGATTTTTTTAAGTATGGTATATATGCTGTGCTGTGCTGTGCTCTGTGTTCTGTGTGTGTGTAAATGTATACTTAATAAAGAAAGATTATACGTAACAAAGATGTGTTTAAGATATTAATAAAATTCTTATTATGTTGCAGCGTTACTAATTAAAGGTCATAATTATCTTATATCGACTAAGAGTATCGTTGTTTAACAAAAACCATTCAAACAAAAACATACATTCAAAAGAGAGAGTAGAATTTAGGAACCTTAACTACGACGACGATAATTAACAAGTAAGTATATATATATACGATCTTTTTAAAGAAAAAATTTAAAATAACAAAAAGTAGTCAAAACATATTCTGTCTGTATCGAAAATTTCATTCTCAAGTACAATGTGTCTCCATTAAAATACATATATAGACATATTACAAAAGAATATCATGTTCACAATGTTATATGGAATATATACATATTTTGCTCAATAGGATGCCTTAACATTTTTATTTCAATACAAAGTATCTTAAAACAGAAAGAACAACAATTTACGATCTAAATCAATTCAAAAAAAATAATGTTACTTTTTAATAATTGTAGATTAAGCAATTGAAACGTGTAACGTGCGATAATTTAAGAACATCTTGCATACGATTGATGAAAACCATACTATCAAACGAAGTGGCAGTACAATACAGTTGGTATGGAGCGAAAAAGAAACAAGTGTTTTCACAACTAGAGATATGCAAAGTAATTATGAGTAAGTAAAATCTTATGAACAATTTTTATTTCTTATTAAATAATATTTCTTAAAAACCGGGATATTCATAAATATATCTAGTATAATTATTGAAGTAAGTAAAACTGTTTACAAGTATTAATATATTTCAACTCTTCATCTCTTTTGTACATATTACAAATAAAGCATATAATAACCCGGTAAAAAATTTTTCATATATAATTATACACAAATTAAACTTATTATATCTAATTATTCANATTTATATGCCGAATGTTCATACAATTTTATACATGGAAAATTTTTTACCGGGGAATTCTCACTTAAATATATTATAGAAACATTTCTTCTAATTTAAGAAATAAGTAAAATGAAAATGTAATGAAAAACTTGTATTTTTTCTAGGTGTGATCCGAAAGTTACATACAAACGTAACAGATGAAGAAATCGCATCTCCCATTAAAATATGGTTAGCTCACGCAAAAGAACGGATGGGGAAAGAAAAACCACAAGTAACTCAACAACAAGAAGAAGAAGATATTCATTAATATATTTTATTTTTATTTTTAGTATTTTTTGGTTTTTGCGAAATATTTTAAAAAGAATAAGTATCTTTGAATGTTTATTCAAATTTTATTTGATTTTTTTTAGAATTCTTTGTTTAAAAAAGATAATTCTTTATAAATGTTCAATTTTATTTTTAAAAGATTTATGTTTGTTATTGAAATAATATTAATTGTGTACCGTATTTTAATTTGTAAGTTTTACACCACGATAATTATATGTTGTTTTATAATGTTTATA